TCTTCGATGTTGTTTGCTCAGACAATGCTGTTCCTCCATAGCTTCTGATTCCTCTCCTGATAGTAATTGTGACCATGCGTGCCATACGAAAGTCCACTCATCTCTCGCGCCAGCTGCTCGCACCCAATGCAGTCCGTCACAGCTCCACTCTCGCATCATCCATCAAGCCGCTTACTTCTGTGCTCATAGCGAATCGTGGAGAGATTGCACTGTATGCATTCTTATTTCTCAGACTAGACCTTTACTAACAGAAGCTACAAGACGAGTTGGTCGAACAGCCTCAGAGTATGGCATCCGAACCACGACCCTCTACACCGACCCTGATGCTCGGTCCCAGCATGCTCTAAGCTCCCCATATGCTATCAATCTCGGAGACCCCACCGCATATCTAGATGGCGACAGGATTATACAGATTGCCAAAGACCAGGGTTGTCAGGGCATACATCCGGGATATGGCTTTGTATAACACCCTCAATGAACCGAGGCATACTAATGCTGACTATTGGTGATAGTTGAGCGAGAATCCGGTATTTGCGCGGAAGTGTACTGAAGCAGGTCTGACCTTCATTGGTCCACCATGGCAGGCTATCGAGGCCATGGGAAGCAAGAGGTAGACTAAAGCTTCATCCCTTGGTAGCACTCGCTAACGGGATGCTTGTAGTGAGTCGAAAGACATCATGATTGCAGCTGGTGTGCCATGTATCCCGGGATATCATGGCTCTAACCAGGATCCTGAGCACTTGAAAAAGGAAGCGGCGAAGATCGGGTATCCTGTCCTCCTCAAGGCTGTGAAAGGTGGTGGGGGAAAGGGTATGCGAATTGTCAAGAACCCAGAGGAATTCTTTGATCAGCTAGCCTCTGCTAAGTCAGAAGCACGAAATTCGTTCGGCGATGAAGTCATGCTGGTGGAAAAGTACATCACAACACCACGCCATATCGAAGTACAAGTGTTCGCAGACAAGCATGGTAATTGCGTAGCCCTTGGAGAACGGGACTGCAGTATTCAGCGCAGACACCAAAAAATATTGGAGGAGTCACCCGCCCCGCATTTGAAGGAAGAGATTCGGCAGGATATTTGGAAGAAAGCCAGGAATGCTGCTTTAGCCGTCAAGTACGAGGGCGCTGGAACTGTAGAATTCATATTCGACAATGACTCGGGCGAGTTCTTCTTCATGGAAATGAACGCCCGATTGCAGGTCGAACACCCTGTCACAGAAATGGTTACAGGAGAAGACCTAGTACGGTGGCAACTTATCGTGGCAGAAGGAGGACGACTACCGCTCACGCAGCAAGAAATCGAGCAAAGAATCAGCGAACGAGGTGCTGCCATCGAAGCCCGAATCTACGCAGAGAACCCAGATATGAACTTCATCCCAGATTCCGGCCTCCTGCTGCATCTTCGCACACCCCAACCAACGGCTACCGTACGGATAGACGCAGGGTTCGTCGCCGGTGACGAAGTCTCGTCTCACTACGACCCCATGATCGCAAAGCTTATTGTCCAAGGACCGACACGAGAAGCCGCAATACAGAAGCTACGCGCTGCGTTGGAGGAGTATGAGGTTGCGGGGCCAATCACAAACATTGAGTTCTTGAAGCGGCTATGCGTCAGTCCCGACTTCGTTGCTGGCGACGTTGAGACTGGCTATATCCAGAAACATCACGCTGAGCTCTTCACCCCCGAACCTCTTGCTCCCGAGGTCTATGCCCAAGCGGCACTTGGTCTCGCACTACAGGAAATCTCGTCTACTCGAAGGGACCCGTTCACAAGTCCACCCATTACAGCAACAGGATTTGGCGCCGGATACCAGCAGAGAGAATACAATCTGATTGATATCCCTGCGGATGGGAAAGGAGATACCACGTCCACGCCCGTCCAGATCCGGCAAACGGCCCCCTCCAAATTTGATATTGCAGTCGGTGATCAAATATATCATGATGTGATCAGCACACTTGACGCTGCTAATACTCTATCCACCTTCTACCCTCATACTCGGCTTTCCACAACATTTATCCGGGACGACAACCACTTAACACTATTCCAACAGGGTAAGCAACACCGACTTCAGTTAGCAATGCCAAAGTGGGCAGAAAAGGCTCTCGGTATCAAGGATGTCACGAACAGCGTTCTAGCACCTATGCCGTGCAAGGTATTGAGAGTCGAGATTTCAGAGGGTGATACAGTGAAAAAGGATCAGCCCCTGGTGGTGATAGAAAGTATGAAGATGGAGACTGTGATAAGGAGTCCGCACGATGGAGTTATCGCTAGAATAGTGCATGGGAAAGGGGTAAGTTCTTCACGTGTGCGGAAATGGTACGCGCTAACATGTTGAATAGGATCTCTGTAAGGCTGGCACTGCGTTGGTTGAGTTCGTTGAAGAGAAGAAAGAAGTATAGAGTGCAATGCACCTCACTATAACAATTTGTTTTCGCGCTTTTGCCTAACCCTAGAACCTGATAGGAATTTTCGCTGCCTACAAAGAGTAAAGCAGTGTTAATTTTACTAAATCCATTATTCTTTTGGGAGATATGTTAGGGTAACGTAAAGCTCTTACCGATTTGTCACATCAACGGAGGCGGCAGAAAGCCGAAACAGCAAAACTTGGTGAAGAAGATGGTCATGAGATGACGATGTATTACGACCCTATAAATTAAAAGCACCCTATTGTTCACACTCGCCAAGATAACTTTTAGTTGTTTTTCATATTGGCTTCTATTCATAGGAGATGGACTATGATATGCCCACAATGCAATTCACTGCCCTTATCTTGTCGTAAGGCTTATCAAAGGGGAGAATACCGAACTTCACTATGAATATATACTGAATGGCCTTCTCGGCATCCACAAATAATCTTTCTTCTTTACTTTAGCACGTTAAGCTCCTAATTTACGAGTTTTACGAATCAAGCTCAAGGGGTGGGTGAGAATGTCTGCAAGTGTGTGCTTAGAGACTAGAGTGTATAACACTTGATTTTCTGAAATAAGCCTTAACAAGCAATTTTGACAGAGTATCTGCTGTCATTTTGGGGGGGCTGGAAAGGCTTCCTTGTATGCACCAACACTCACTGTCGCTTCTCCAGTGGCCGGCAAACCCCTCCTAAGGCCACTAATGCATATGTTGATGACCTCCAATCTCGCCTCTGTAGATTACCCATCTGTTGCCTGCGGATCCATATAGATGATAGTTGGCATGCTACCTGGCCCCACGTGCTGAGCTGCTCCTTCTGTTTCCTACCGACGTGACGTAATCGGAAAACAACGCGCCGACACCATTTTTTCCGCACCTTCACACAGTCACTCACCTTACTGTACCACAAAAATTGAGACTGCGGAAGCCCTTGCAATGTCGCTGCCAGTAGACCAGTCCGGTGGCCCCCGCTGGACATCTTCCACCTCGAAGTCGTCAGACGCTTCAGACAGCGCAGACCTGTCTCCCAGATCTGCAGGAAGCCCAGTTGGTAAGTATCCTGTACCCTCCGCTAGGAAGAACCACATATCCTGACTATGGGGCAGTCGATGACGTTCAAATGAAACAAAATGGCCAGCACTACGGTGGTGTAATCTGCGAAACGGACCAAGCGACAGGACCCAGTCCTCTAGATACCGAGACCGACCTTTGTCAAAAACTCGCAACCACAAACCTAGCTAAAAAGGGCCTTGAAGAACAAATTGCTAGGCTCGAAAAAGAAATACAGGTGTGCCGAAAGCGCGAGGTTGCCACCCGAGCTGTCTTTATCAACAACTATGAACAAGGGCAAGAGCTGGCAAAAAGGCAGCGCAGACTCGACAAGCAGGAGCGTGAGCAAAAAGATGAAGCTGAGAGAGTGATCGCGTCACAGAAGGCAGAGGATGACAAACGGAAGGTCGAGAGAAAATATCTGGACGAGCAGAACGCTCTTATCGACCAGCGTATCATAGCACAGGAAGAGCTCACCGGCTCGCACGGTACTATTGCTCTGAAGTGTACTCTCGACCACAAGGAAGACACAAAGACGACTTTTCTAAATGACAAGAAGGTCAAAAAGGACGCTACTTCAACTTTGGAGATAGGACCTTCCGCTGGCCATTTCGGACTCAAACGTGACTCCGATCTTGATGAATGGAACGTACCGACTGTCCAAACAAATACGTTCGAAGTAAATTGGCTGCGTAGGTACGACTACTACCGAGGCTGGCTCGATTGCGCCAAAGTTTCAGATCATGAAGAGGCATTACAGCAGGGAATGATCAATGAGGAAGAGGTAGCCTATCTCAAAGACTGGTACAACCCAAAGAACCCTTGGAACGCAGGCTGCGTGGTCGGCGCCAACTTCACATGGACTACCTTATGCAACATTCACCAGAAGCCGGAGTGGCTTACGCTTGACAACCGACAGTGGGGATTTCACGACTTGACTCCAACGCTAGGGACACGACCAGGGATGTTCTGGGAAGGTGTGAAAGTTGGGAGATGCAGGACCAAGGAGATGTTCCTAGATAAACTTGGGGAGGGTGCAGCGAAGACGACCGGCTGATGACACAACATCAGCCAACAAACAACAGAACGGGTGGCACAAATAGAACATGAGCATTTGCTAGGAGAAACGAAGAGGGGAAGTGGCCATGCCTGGCGATGCACGGTATTGAGAACGGGCTTTGAGCTAGGAATTGATGAAAACCCATGTTTTGAAATAGAACCAAAGAAATTCTTGACACTTAGCTATTTGCGTTGTCTGCCATGTGTGTCAGGTCCTTAGGGATCGCTCTTATTTGCTATGAGCGGTATCAGCAATGTGGTATCGATCCCGGTTTGTAGTATTTTGAATGAAATGTTCGTGATGGAGAAAGGCTAAGGATACGAGCACAAGATAAACAGTGCGCGAGTGGTGACAAAGTGGGGCTGACTAGCTACAATAGGTGCTGGAATTTTGCATACGGAAACGAACCTTGCTGCGTTCATCAAAAGATATACTGAATATAAATGTATTAAGTCGAACATTTTGACATCAGAAAACAAGCAAGCATCTATGGTCCAGCGGTAGGATATTTGCCTTCCATCATCTAGCTAAGCTAGGGCGAGCAAATGGCTCGGGTTCGACTCCCGGTGGATGCAAATATTACAGGTTTCTTTTTTTTCGGTGCTTTTGCGAGTCTAAATATATTTTTACAAACGCAAGAATATGGCTTTACTATCCCTATAATTATTCTATGCTTGATAAATGACACACACCAACCACTTCACGCTTCAGGTTTTTACTATTTGTCCAGGCAGACGTCTCGGTCTCGCGATTGGTATCGGACGGTGTTTCTTTTGTCTATGGCGAAAGCTCGAGGACACATGCCAAAGGACCCTGTTCCCCATGGATCCTGCAGGACACGGCTCGATTGGGGTCCATGTCTACATTCACGCGCGTCGTTACATTTGCCATCCCAAATGACGGCACTGGCGTGATGGGGCAGCTCGACCGGTGACGAAGAGCCTTGGTTCCAAGCGTGGCGGACGCGGGTGATTGGCCTTGAGCTGGCGCTTTTGGTCGCAATCGGACTCCGTCGGGTGCTCGCGCTTGGCTGGATGCGCTGTCGCAGTCGCTAGCCCCGCCACATGCACCTCCAGAACATGACCCGCAGCCTGAGTCGGTGTGGCCAGCATTGCTGCCTGCGGTTTGCGACGTTCGAGCCAGGCATCGCTGCAGCTGATTGGCCCCAATGCGGCGGACTCACCGACAGCCCTTTCGGGGGGTGCGCCAAGCGGCGGGACTGTGACTGCTTTGTCCTCCACGTCGGTATCAACATAAGACGTCGGGGAGGCACATGGTGGTGAGCCGCAAACCCGTCCCTCTCAACAATCCATCCTGCCATACGGCCTACTGTGTATTTGAACGCGCCACTGCCCCTCCCCAACGCCAATTCCACATCTCCACCCTTTCTCTGCGCCCTTCTCGCGTCCAGCCATACCCCGCCTGCACATAGCGTGTCCAACCTGGACATCCAGCCGACATGCCGTCCCACTCGCACGCCCCATCGCACTTCCAGCCCCCGCCTCCAATCCGCACATCCACCGTAGACTCGCAGAAGTCGCAGTCGTCCGGCGCCATGTCGCCCGGCTCCGACATGCTTTCGCCGACCTCGACCTTTTCCCGCGAAGCACGTGCAGCTGCGTCGCCGACCGAAGAGTCCTTTTTCGGTGCCATCACCACGCGCATGAGGCGGGGCCGGTCCCGGAGTCGTTCTCGTGCCCAAGTCTCCCGCAAACGCTCAAAGTCTCCAATGGTCCTGCCGCCGGAGCAGTTCCCTTCACCCTCGAGCGCGCAGCCTATGAGCTCGTCGAGCCCAACATACACTTCCTCAAGGCCGCAACAACCACGCCATGCCTCGACAAGAAGCCAGAGCTCAGTGGCCTCGGCGCCTGCGAAGCCAACAAGGCCCAGTCTCCAGGGCCCAACAAGGCGGGGCACAACCAACAGCGATTTGTGGCGTGGGAGACACTCCAACTCCTGGCTGTTCAACGACTTCTCCGTGACGGACACTGCAAAGGATCTCTTCCACATCGGTCGGAAGTCGTGATCGCAGACCGGTGAGGGCTGGTCTGTGACTCGCCTTCATACGACGGGCTAGATTGCTGCTGGAAGCCATCACACTTCTCGAGAAAGTGTCCGGTAGCCCGTCAATGTGCACTTTTATCCTAATGAATAGGGTGGTAATGAGAATGGGTCAAAACGTCGCGAGCCACCCCCGCCATGATGCAGGGCGTGGTCGAGACCTGAGGGCGAGAACTTTGTACTCGGATGCACAGCTTGATCTGTCCTTTCCTATCATGTATATTAGCCTGATGAGCTGAACAACACATTGTTGCAAATTCGAAATTGACTCCCAAGCATCTACAAGATTCTCTGACGCATTTCTGATATGTGTGACTGGGACACCAGGCCATGACAGGACAGCAATCAAGACTCGCCAGTGACAGAACAAGAAAGTGAGATCAGAGTCATCGGATCGTAAGTAGTCCCAGATGAGGTGAGGTTGAAGTTGAGGTTGAGTTTGAGGAGGTTAACCATGTCAAGTCCGTCTGCTTGCACTGCCCCCTTACTAACCGGGACTGCCTGTCCACATCAACAGCTTGTGAGTACACCGCTCTCGAGAGTACCTTCATGTGCTCCGCATCGCCCTCAAATATTGCACATTCCCACCATGATGCAGTGGACCAGCCCAGAGGATCACGAGAAGCGTGCTCTGCTCAGTGCAATCAGATTGCTCAGCGGAATCCAAACTATTCCGAAGTCTTGCAATCCAACGCCGAGAACACCGAACACAGCTGGGATTTTATCATTTCGCCCTACGATGAGCATATGTGATTCGGACCTCCCATTAATTCTGTATTCCATCATTCAGTGATCTCGCATACACGTCGGCGAGATCCCATTTAAAAGGGCGACCGTTTCCGCAATCTTCCTACTGTCATAGCTGTCTTGCCCCTCATTTCAACACTCAACCCCACCTCGAGGACAACCGCGTATCTTGCGCACCACCCCATTCCATAATGAGGCACGAACGCTCAACACTCCCGACGCCGACGTCGACCAATTCATTTTGGCACAGCGAGCCCAATGAATTCCTTCTGGGCCATCGCACGACGGCGGAATTGCCCGCAGAAGCTGATATCGTCATCGTAGGAAGCGGCATTACTGGAAGTGCTGTTGCGAGATTTCTCACAGAAGATGGTAGGGCGAAGGGCAAGAGCATAGTATTGCTGGAAGCTAGAGAGGCGTGCTGGGGTGCTACAGGTAGGGTAAGCTCACCGTCGATTCCGAGTATTGCATGTTGGTCTATCAAACAATAGCTTTGAATCATCTTTCCTATTGCAAATTCTCCACTCATTAGCTGACATTACATACTAACGAGCCCTTCAACAGAATGGCGGCCACTGCCAACCTCTCCTCTTCGACCGCTCCGCCTCCGTGGCCGCCTTCGAGCTCAAAAACGTCGAAACCGTGAAATCCTACATTGAAACGCACAACGTAGCCTGCGATTGGCGCAGCGTCTCCGGCTGCCGCCTCTTCGGGACGGAAGGACTCATGGAAGAAGCCGAGCGGGAAATCGCTCAACTCCACAAGATAGCGCCCGAGATCGCGCGGCAGGTGACAGTTGTCAAAGACAAAGATACATTGAGGGAGCAAAGAGTTGACTCCTCGAACTGTGTTGGCGTAACAATAACTAGTGGTGCTGGGAGCTTGTGGCCGTACAAATTGGTTACTTTTGTGCTTGAGAAGTTGGTTAAGGAGGGGAAAATCAATCTCCAGACCTTGACGCCAGTCACGCAGATCACTTCCGAGGACTCCAAGCACACTCTTCATACCGCCCGCGGCTCCATTAGCACAAAGACGGTTATCCTAGCAACGAATGGCTATACCTCTGCACTACTCCCACAGTTCGCAGATCTCATCGTGCCGGTCCGTGGGGAGATGTCTGCGCTATTTCCACCCAAGAACTCGACACTGCTCCCAAATTCGTACGGAATGGTCGGAGTCCTTAGCCAACCTGCCAACAACGACGATTATCTTATCCAACGCCCCTTCAAAAACGTCCCAAATCCAGCCGGACATCTAATGTTCGGCGGCGGCCGCGGAGCCGGCGTCCTTCCTTCAGTTGGCGTATCAGATGACAGTTCAATTGATGAAGGATCGGCAGCATATCTCCGCAGCGCATTGCTCAAAGTGCTCAAACTTGGCGGTGAGACAGAAGGCTTGAAAGAGCTTGAGGCTGCTGCACAGTGGACTGGGATCATGGGCTACTCTCGAGATAATCACCCATGGGTTGGAAAAGTACCCGATCATGAAGGATTGTGGCTTGCTGGCGGTTACACGGGCCATGGGATGCCGAATGGAACGCTGTGTGGGAAGGCAGTGGTAGACTTGGTGTTGGCAGACCAGGCCGGGGAAGATGTGCTTGCACTTCAGGGTAAGATGGTTAATGATGGAAATATTCCGCAGAGTTATATTATCAGCAAGGAGAGGATTGAAAAGGCAAGATCATGGCCAACTGTTGAAGTCCAAGAGCGAGAGGGTTTGCATATCAAGGTCGTATAGACGGCCTATTCCTTAGTGAATTTAGTTGGAAACTTGTACTCAGAAACCCTGGTACATAGTATACAGTTCTCCTAATCATTACGAACGAGTCCTCACCAAGTCACATTGGATAGGACCAAAGGGTTCAATCCACCGATCTTTCACACTCCCAACTAGTCTAAAATTACCTCTCTTGCTCATCGTGCTTAAAGTTCCCGGCCGTGGAGCACATCCGTCTCGAATAGGGAAGTTAAAGTTCGCAACAGCGTCTACGGCGCGGAGTACCCTAGGCGGCCGGAATAAGACGCAATTCAGAACACATGACTCGGGCCCACCTGGAATGCGGGGGTCCTTGGAATTTGACCTTGTGACTCAGAAACTTACTCTACTATATGGTTCTCCTTCTAGTCAGATAGCCGCCCCCCAATCCTTCTATCTCATCCTCCCTATTATAAACTCCAATAGTCCAAACCCTAGCTCAGAGGAAAAAAAACTCCTTCATTTCGCAGGGATTCAAAAGTAGACCAACGACGAGAAAGAGATAACATTGGCCTTGATTCAGAGCAACAAACATGTCTGAACAAAAACTCCCCAAAAACATCGGCGTAATACTCTTCCCTGGCTTCCAACTCCTCGACATCTGCGGTCCCCTCGACGTCCTCAACCTCCTCGCGTATAGCCATACGCTCAACCTCTCCATTATTGCCGCCTCCCTATCCCCAGTCTCAACATCGCACGCGCAGTCCGTCGCCGCAAACTCCAACTTCAGCCAATCCATTGTGCCGACACACACTTTTGCCACGGCACCCGATGATCTAGAAGTCTTAATCATCCCGGGTGGTTTCGGATCAAGAAAGGAGGAGAATATCGAGGGGGTTGTGGAGTTTGTGAGGGGTTATTATCCAAAGTTGAAGTGGTGCTTGACGGTTTGTACTGGGAGTGCGATTCTGGCGAAGAGTGGGGTGCTGGATGGGAGAAGGGCGACAAGTAATAAGAAGGCTTTTGCTTGGGTACTTTTGATTCCTTCCCTTCCCTTCCCCATTTACCTCTT